TCCTTCTAAATTAGGGCGAAACCCTTGTGTTTGCCCCCCCCTGGAAATTAAGGCTGGTTCCGCCCCTGCTTCTAATGATTAAGGAGCGAACATAACTAATAATCACATAATATTCATGCGCTTCATTTTGGATAGCATTTTTTTATTATTTTTTAAAATAATTTTTTTGAAGAAAAAAAGAGTTTAAGAAATTTTTTTACTAAAAAAATTGTTTTTTTAACTAAGAAATTACTTGAGTGAATCTCCAACCGAAAAACTCATTTTTCACGTCAAAATATACTAGTACTCCAAAATGCAATAACTCATTTCCAACTAAACTCCATTTCATAACAACAACAAAAATATTTTAAGTATATTATTTCTCCAACAAAAAAGGCATTTGTGGACGCCAAATATTGGTGTCGCTATGTTCACATCTTGAGAATTAGGGGTGTCAAAACGGGTATTCAGGTCTAGTTCATGTCGAGTTATGGTCTAATATAGAGTTGATCGTGTCCCCAATTCAGCTAATCTGAATTCGATCTAATTTTGCAAATGAGTCAAAAATTCATACATGAACCTGACCTATAGGGTTACTAGGTTAACACGACCTGACCTGCTAACCTGATTTTGCAAACATGTCGAGCATAAACTCGAGCTGCGAAAGCAGTGCGATTGCGGACGAGGCAGCCTGGCAGGTCAGCGTGAGCGCGTGGGTGTGCCTGAGTGGGGCAAGAGCTAGCGTGCAGTCGCAGTCCTTACTTCCTGCCAAAGACCCGACGTCTTGTTCAAGACCCGGCACTAAGTCCCTACGTCCTACTCAGGGCCCGACATTCAGTCCCTACGTCCTGCCGAGGACCCGACGCCTTACTTAAGTAATTGATTGTAATCTGTTCACCCCTGGAGGTGATTCAGTCTTTTGTAACCGACTCAAAATCTAGTGGAATCATTTTCAACTGGGCTAGGCCTCGTGGTTTTTTCCCTTTTAAGGGTTTTCCACGTAAAAAATCATGTGTTCTCTGTGTGTGCTAGTTATACGTACAACGCTAAGACGTAGAATCAAATCTCTATCGCCGCGTAATTTCTAGCCCGCAACAATTATTATTTTGAAAAAACAAAAAAAGTTCAAGACATTTTTTTACTAAAAAATTACTTGAGTGAATCTCCAAGTGAAAAACTCATTTTTTTACTTTAAAATATACTAGTACTTCAAAATGCAATAACTCATTTCCAATAAAATTCCATTTCATAACAACAACAAAATATTTTAGGTATATTATTTCTCCAACAAAAAAGGCATTTGTGGATGCCAAATATTGGTGTCGCTGTGTTCACATCATGAGAATTAGGGGTGTCAAAACGGATATTCGGGTCAAGTTCATGTCAAGTTCTAGTCAAATATAGAGTTGATCGGGTCTCCAATTCAGCTAATCTGAACTCGTTCTAATTTTGCAAATGAGTCAAAAATTCAAACATGAACCTGACCTGTAGGGTTACTGGGTTAACACGACCTGACCTGCTGCTAACCTGATTTTGCAAACGTGTCGAGCACGAACTCGAGCTGCGAAAGTAGTGCGATTGCGGACGAGGCAGACTGGTAGGACTGCGTGAGTGCGTGAGTGTGCCTGTGTGGGGCAAGAGCTAGCGTGCGGTTGTAAAGGATTGCATGAGCAGTCGAAAGTGGAGGACATCCTAGCGAGCACAGGATCGTACGTGTACCTTTGCAGTGCGGGTGCACTATACGCAATTTTGTGTGCACCAACGAGGATTGTCTGGCTAGATCGCATGGAACACTATGGTGAATGCAGGCGGGGCGGCGCGAATGGACAAGTAAGATAGACTCGAGTCAAATTCGGGTTAGCGAGTTGACCCAAACCTAGGGGTGCAAGTGAGCTGAGCCGGTTATAGTTAGACTTATTAACGATTTTGCGAGCCAAGCTTATCGTGCTTCGAGCTTGAGCTCATTGGATTATTGGCATTGGGTGATGTTCGGCTCGATTATTCTGGAGTAGCTCAATTAGCGATAAGCGCGGGCGAAGCACGGAAGGTAAAAGGAGCAAGTGAACAGCGAATGAAGTTAGAAGCGAGGCGAAGCTTGAAGTGCTGGTAACATCTGCACGTGCGAACTGCATAAGGCGTTACTCGACTGCGCATGTGATCCTAAAAGGAAAACTGACAAAGTCGTGGACCTTACAGAAGGCTCGCGAGCTGCCACAAGCTCATTTTTAGTGGCACAAGCCAGCTCGAGCTCTCCTTTTGAGCTGGCTTGTGTTCGAGCTCATATTTTGGCTCACGAGTCTAGCTCGAGTTATGTCACGCCTCAGAATCTAATTTGAAAAAAAAAAATATTATTTTATCTTTTAATTTACATAACAAGAGCTACATAAAAGTTTTTATCAATATAAATACCAACAAAAATAAAATTATCGATTAAAACATCAATATGTACATCTATATTTATTTCTCAAAATCATATACACTATTTAGGATATATATATGCTCTGAGTATAAAAGAATAGCTATTGACAGAAAGAAACAAGCTAATAGTAAACATGAAGAATTCTAACTAGCCTCAAACTAGAGTCATCACTTTTTGCTCGTTGGTATAGTAATAAATCGTTGGCTTAGTAAATAGAGTCATCACTTTTTGCTCGTTGGTATAGTAATAACTATTTATAACTCTTCATCGTTGTATCATTGTATCAGATAACACCAAATCATCGTATTTAAAGAAAAGTCTGTCGGCCCACTATCATGTACAAATTAATCTATCTTCAACCAAAATGTCAACCAGTCTTCACTTGTCTTTCTCATACACACATTATTATCACACTATTATGACAACAATAGCGACAAGTTATTACTCATTCACATGCACACATTTAATTCCAATGCATTGCAGTGAATAAAGTATAATTTGACTTAATTCAGAAAGTGTCAAAATATCGTAACAATAAGCAACAGAAAACTCTACTGAGCATAAATATATATTTTTAGATATTAATCAAATTATCAGGGATCATATATAATTATATACTAAAGTTTTAATTGAACTAAATTACTATTTTTATATGTCAAATTAAAATATCTGAATTGATAAAAATCGCTTGTTTTCAAAATCACCAAGCGAAAAATCTCAAATAAATACTCAAAACATTCATAATCTCAATCTCTATAACATAAAAAAAGTTACGTTGAGAAAGTTTTACCAATATAAAATTATCCTCATTTATCAATTATTGACAACCTTAATGAGAATGACATAGGTTTTCGCATTCAGGTGGAGTAGCTCGCAGACGGCTATGCCGGTTTAGGATTCGGTTAGAGATGGCCTTAGAAAGCAGTAATAAAATTGCCCCAAACGAAGCCATAGAGTTTATCATTCAGGCTATACACCACTAGTTCCCATTATCCATTTTTTTTATTAGTTTTCCTTGGTTATTTTAATTGCTTCTATGCTTGGATACTCCTAAGATAAGACACCTGAATTAATATTATAATTTGACTTCTAAAGAAATATCATCATGATATAAAATCCAAATAACTTCTTCTAATCGGTTATTCAAATTGTAAAATTAACTAATAAAAACAAATTAAATAACTGTAAAACAAATATAAAACAAAACTTTATTTATAGCATTTAAAGTCTAGTTACGACATTAAAAAAAAAAAAAAAACCTATACACATCATAAATATCTTCAAATTTGGATAAAGAATCAAAGGCTGTGTCCTGTGCTTAAAATTTTAAAGCTAAAGTAATTGTAAATCTCTTTGTACTCTCTCAGTTAACATAAGGAACATGTCTCCAGCGGCTATGGTAAATGTTGGATTTGGATGTTTCTATTGGCATGACTCATTCAGTGGCAGTAGTTTCAAAATATGACTCATTCAATCTACGTGAATTTTATATTTCCTGTTTATATGTTCTTCATCGCACCCTGCCCTAAAGCGGAAAAACTATTATGTGCGGTGTCCGGACGAGTTGGAAAAACTATTATGTGCGTTTGGACACCGCACAAAATAATCCCTCCCCAAATAGACATTATTCTATGTGGCATCCGGATGGGAAGAATCGTCTGGATTGTGAGTATAAAATATTTTTATACACAAAATGTTCATTAATTTGATATACACTGTGTATAAATATGTACACTCATAAGTACAAACAACTCTTTACGTATAGATACCGCACAGAATAATCTCTCCGCCCCAAAAGAGATGAGACAACAATGGGGATGGCTTTTGTCCTAAGCCCATCCGCCTATCATCATTCATGACATCCGGTACGACAATATCTCAAAAAAACCCCAACCAGCGGTGCAAACTTGCAGACCCGGCCCACCTGACTCGGTCTAACTCGCCCAACCACCCCCCCTAAAAATCCCTCCCTCAAACCAATACAGAAGGAACAAAATCCCTCAAATATGGACCACAGATTCAGTCTCACCTAATCCGGATAAATAATTAATCTCCATTCCCTCATTATTATAAACTTTATTATGTTCGATACTCTGATTAGCAAATAATCCCCCCAAAAACGGCAGGTCATATCGGCTTTATTATCCCAACCCACAAATCTTACGTGTTTATTGTAATCTCAGCGGATTCGCTGACGTCATCTTAGCCCCGCGAGTTTCCCCAACGCCACCCGCCGTCGGCGAGTGGACTTTTACGCTTCTCGCCCCCTAAAAGCAACCATTTATTAACGTCCCCTCGTAGGAAGATTCGCTCGTTTACTCCAACTTTTTAGAGAGAGAAGCAGATTGCGTTTTAGTGAGAGAGAGGAGGAAAATCTCAAGAGAATCGAGCTGCGGGGCCCACGCAGGTGCGGCGAGATTTGGTGCCCTCTTTGGTTCGCGAGCTCCTTGGGATTTTTGAGGCCGTGCTAATTGGTTTTCTCTCTCTATAAAAAGAAGCATTTTTCTCCGATACAGTTGCTAATTGCTTAATCTATTCGTTCCTCTCGTCGTTTCTCTCTCATCACTCACAGCAGTGTTTTTAAACTTTTCTTTAGCCGGAAATGGCGGCTGCCGGCGGCGGCGACGGGGAGAGGGAGATGCATGTGCTGGCTGTCGATGACAGCTCCGTCGACCGAGCCGTTATCGCGAGGCTATTGCGTAATTTTAAGCATAGAGGTCCCTCTCTCTTTCCAAAATTGCATTTGCTGCTTCAATTCTTTGTAGGGGGGATTATCAGATTATGATGGTTTGGTTTCTGTGCGAATTCTGTTGCAGTGACGACTGTGGAGAGCGGGGTGCGGGCGCTGGAGATGCTTGGCTTGGTTAGTATTTGTTTCTCGTTGAGCTTTTTATTCTCTTCAGATCTGCTAAGGCGAAAACTTTTGGTGAATTTATGTTGTTCCTTGAATAAAATCTTGTTGAAATTATTTAATCAAATTATCTTCTTTTTCTTTCAATCAAGGTTTCATAGATTGTATAAGCAACTTGAATGTTTTAATTTTGGTTTCATGGATTTGGCAATTTCAGCTTAATTTCGTTGAAAATAACTGAAAATTATGAGCGCTTCCAAACGGATCTTCGTTGAAATCGAACAATTTTGAATTGTTTATAGCTGAAAATGAAAACGCTAATTTGATCTACCACGAGTTAGGGCATCTCCAACCGAGAACTCTATTTTTCACGTCAAAATAGCGCAAAAAGCAAAAATGGCGTGGTGCTGCTCCAATCCAACGCCATTTTTTTGCTTCTGCGCCAAGGTAACGACCCTTCTTCTTTCCCGCATTTTTCCGGTTGACAGAGAAAAATGGCGTGGACCCGCAAGCAAATGGAGTATTTTTTGGCGTTCGGCTGGAGCGAAGGAATGACGCCAAACGCTCGTTTGGTTTGGCGTTCGGTTGGAGATGCCCTTAGCATGCATGGCAGATTATTGAAGAATAAAAGTTTCTCATTTGGCCCATTTAATTTGCTGGAATTACATTTGAGGGTTTTTTGTGCAAGGATTTTAAATTTTCTGCTTACAGGAGCCGAATGTGAACATGATAATCACCGATTACTGGATGCCAGAGATGACGGGGTTCGAGCTTCTGAAGAGGATCAAGGTCAGATTTGAAAAAAAAAAAAATCAAATTCTATTTTTTAGGGGAGTATTTGATATATATTTTTTAAATAAATTAAAATTAATAATACTTTTACGTAATTTATTTTTTATTAGGAATTTCTAAATGTTTTAAATGATTAAGTTATATTTAAATAATGAGCTGTGGACACATCTGAACCAGGAATCAAAGGACCTGAAGAAGATACCTGTAGTCATCATGTCATCAGAGAACGTCCCCACTAGAATCACAATGTACGGATCAGGACAGACATTTTTTTATTAATTTAATTATGCTTCATAATTTAGTAATGGCTTTAAGATTGATGCGCAGGTGCATGAAGGAAGGGGCGGAGGATTTTCTCCTGAAGCCGGTGAAGCAGTCTGATGTGTCGAGGGTGTGCAGCCGGATGATGCGATGAGAGGACAGCCGTTTGATGAGTTTTGAGGCTTTTGATGGACGGATGGATGCGTTCAACCGTCCTTTTTTCTGATATTTTCTCCGGTTATTTTTGTTTGAGTGCTGACGGCGACGATCATGCGAAGAACAAGTTTTTTTTTTTTTTTTGAAGAGATATTTTAGCGGTCAATTTCTATTTGTAAGAGTTATTTGGGAATTTAATTTGCTGAAAAATGAAATGCAGTTTTTGTTTATTTATTTATTTCATAAGTTGCTGAGTTTGAAATGCAATTTTTATTAATTTGATTGTGAAGTACAAAGTGTAAGATAGATAGTTTATTGAATTTGTCGAGTTTGGTATCAAAGAATTAGAACCAAAGCAATATATGACAGTCAAGTTTTGTTGAATTCACGATCATGAATTCTTGCTCACCATTGATCCCTTGCGCTCTTAAATCTTCTTAATCTTGAATCTTCTTAATCTTGCGCTCATCGGATCCCTCAGAACTATACGTTCATGAACCCTAATGTTAGGTAACAAAGAGTCCAACATAAAGAGAAAAAATAAATTATGATTTGTAAAACATAAATGAACATAAGAGATTAACGTGGAAAACATAAATCTAAAAAAAATTATAAACAAGAAGGGAAAACGATTTCACTATAGAAAAGAAGTACCCAAGAATTATAACCAAAGCAATATATGATAGTCAAGCTTTGTTGAATTCATGATTATGATTTATTGCTCACCATTGATCCCTTGTGCTCTTAAACCTATAAATCTCGCGCTCATCGGATCCCTCAAAACTACACGCTCGTGAATTCTCATGTTAGGTAACGACGAGTCAAAAATAAAGAGAAAAAATAAATTATTATTTGTAAAACATAAATGAACGTAAGAGATAACGTGGAAAACATATATAAATCTAGAAAAAATTACGGACGAGAAGAAAAGCGATTGCCTCGAGTACAAAACTGCTTAAAATCCTAAATTCTTTATAAATATTTATAAGAAAAAAAATAAAGTACATAAAAAAATAAGCGGAATTTTAAAAATACCCTTATAGAGCGTTGAGTCAAAAATGTCAACAAATAAGAATAGAGTCAAATTCTAAACAATAAGAACGCCTCACACCGCAACTACCTCCGCTATTCAACTCCACCTCTAATCTCATAGAATTTTGCCGCACTCACAACTTATATCACATCATGATTGAAAATTATTGATTTTATTTTGCTCATAAAGTTTTTTTTTTAAATATTTTGTTAGATGAAAAATAAGTCAAGATAAAGTAAAATAATTACAATGCATTTCATTTTAGTTCATTTTTTGTGTATTTGAAATTCCTTATATTTGGACATTTTTCAAATACACTGCAAATTCAAGGCATTACTACCTCTTGTCAGTCACATCCGCCTGCTAGCCACTATCGTCCGCCACCACCGTTGTCCAATGCCGTCCATCCACCACCGTTGATCGCAGCCTCATGCCACTCTAGTCACTTCTATTCACTTTACATTGCAATCACTCTACTTCAAACCAAACAAGAAAGTAATTTCATCCTAAACACTTTATATTCATACAAATAATTACCTGATAATTTCATTAGATTGAAACAATTAAAAATGTAATTAAATTAATTAAAAAATACTTTTAAAATGTGGATTAAATTATAATTTGTTGTGATTCAAAATCTACGCAAAATGTTATTTTAAAGTTTAAGCATGATTGATTATTAATTTATTGATTAACGAAACTCATTTTTGTTTGTTAGTTATTTGGTTGGAAATTTTGACGACTAATGAGGAGGTTGAGTTTGAGCCTTACATATAAATTTGTCTTCATAAATCTAAATGTTCCTAAAAATATATATTATTAATTTATTTTTTGAGAAGTAAAATTTGAAAATGGTGGTCCCCTCTTAAATATTTTCAAGATCATGCTGGCTTCATCTATTTCTGAAAAAGGAAAGAATATGTGTCACATGGTGGGAGATCTGATGTCATGCAAAGCTAGTTTTGGAAAGGATCTCAATCGGCGGACATTCGAATCTGGTTTTGTCGGAAAGATCTCTATTTGCCCTCTCTCTCTCTCTCTCTCTCTCTCTCTCTCTATTACAAAGAAAATTAAAATATTAAAAGGCTATCAATATGAAGTTCAAAGCATAAAATGTGATGTGTTTGAGTTTGGGACTTTGGGTTTAATTCTCTTAGAATCTTAATTCAAGAGAGAAATGTGATATGTGGCACTGAGGAGAATAGTTCAGTAGTTGATAGTTTTTTTTTTCCGGTTATGGATCATAAATTTTTTCCATGATAAAAATATGAATTTTTGTGATAAGTATATATTCAAATATTTTAAAAATATGGTTCTAGTTAAATTAGAGGTGTCAAAATGCATTTTCGGGTCGGGTTCGGATCCAATCCGAAATTAACCAGCATTCAAACTAATTTAATTGCCCCAAATTTTCTACACTTACATCTTTACTTGCCATCACTAAGAAGGGGTAACATTTCATAATTACCACATTGTTGTACTCATTCATAGGGGTGTCAATTCGGGTCAATGGGTCGGGTTCGGGTCGAACCCAAAACTAACCCGGCACTATTCGGGTCAACTCGAACCCGACCCGTTTTTAAAAACGGGTCAGATTTCCGGACCCGAGCCCAACCCGAATCAGGTCCGGGACAACACGAATGACCCGGCATTGACCCAAAATTGCTAGTTTTCTAGTAAAAAATTGAGTCAATCTTCGTTTCTCGGATAAAAAACGGGTCAATCTTGGATTTTAGTGTCAAATATAAGTTTTCGTGTCACTTTTGGGTCAATTTCGGGTTGATGGGTCAACCCGAACCCGACCCGATTTTTAAAACGGGTTGATTTGTTGAACCCGAACCTGACCCGTTTCGGGTTCGGGTTGACCTGAACCCGATTTTTTTCGGGTCGGGTTTGGGTTGTGTTTCGGGTCGCGTCAAAAATTGACACCCCTACTCATTTTTACTTTTCTTGAGGGTTGACGCCCCCTCCAATACCGTCTTATCATCATTATAATTATTAGCATCATTTAATTCATTATTATATATCACAACTGCATTATCACCACTACCTACTTGCTCATTGTCATCATCAGGAGTATTTTCAACAACGGTCTCAGTATCGCCCATCTAACAAAGTCATGTAAAAAAATATACGCAATTAGAAAACAAATAAAAATAGATGTTTAGATAGACAGCATGAAAAATCCTAAAGGGTCTTGATCTCATCGACACCAACAACTACCTACAAAAACAATATTCTCTTTATAGAAATAGGCCTTATCAAAAAGTTACAAAGCTATCCTTAGCAAGTTAGCATGCAAATTTCATAATTCAAATAAAAATTAATGATGAAAAAATCAGCCCATTTCTAAATTGTAATAAAATCAATTAGTGAGGCTTAACAGCATAAGTGCATAAGCTTACAATCAACTTGCTACGGCTCCACTCCATGGACAGATAATTAAATTTCTAATGCAATAAGAAACAACTACAACATTTCTAATACAATAAACCCATTATCTCAAATCGACAAATTAATAGGAAAAGTTTAGGCTTTCATGTTTATGGCTCCAAGGACAAAATAGTAGTCAAAGTATAATACATCTATATCAAATCTAATACAATCAAAAGCAAACATAACTCCTATTTAGTTCATCTGCTAGGGTTTCACATCCCATCATGACATTCTTTGTGGTTTGGGAACCACACAATCTAGGATTTCCGTTTGATATGCTTAAATATGAAAAAAAAAAAAAAGTGAAAACTCATACAAATAAGTTTGCCAAGATATCAGGAAGCTAATTATCTCAATTAAAATATAAAAAAATTTACCAGCAGCCGATACTTGTTAATAAGCATAACATGAAAACCGAAGTAGCAGAGGAGAGAAGGTGGACCTGCATATGTCGTCTTTTAACATGCCTCTAAATTCTTTTGGATTAAACTCTACAAGAATAACACAAACCTGCAACTAAACGAAGAACAAAGACGAAACCAGAAAAAGGGCAGTGGCACAAAAAGAAACAAGGAAACAACCAGTGCCAAGTGATGAAACGAAAATACGCACGATCGCGTTGGTATTAGCCCAAAATAAACACCACCTCTATTATGTATTAACCACGCCATTCTGGTCATTATTGAGTTTTCGGGCTGACTAGATTGACCACCATTTTAGCTTTTTACACTCGAACCCGACCCTATGCCAAACAAGTCAACTCAATTTGGGATCATTTGATGTCCAATCTACCAAATATATTTTATTGTCAAAAAAAATGTTTGAAATTTTTTGCATGGCTAAAATTTATGTTTATGGTGGATGCCCGGCAGGGAACCATGCAAGTGGTTGCACCATATTAGCCTCTGTCACTGCGACGCTCATCAGCTTTTAGAATTGTGTTGCATCATACAGCACATGAGGGATTTTGTTTGGAACTACTGGATAAGTTTGTAACTTAGCCAGATTTGGCAATTGTTTTTTTCAGATTAAAATGCTGAAATATGCGCAGATACAAATAAATGGACCTGGCTTGAATTGTCTTTTTTTTTTTTGTTTTTAGTGAAGGTGACAAAATCGTATAAATAAATCAAAAAATGATTATGAAAGTTTATAAATTTATTTGATTAAATCAATCAAATGAAATGATAATGACATCAATATCTTTTGAGTGGGTAGTCAGTATACTCATATCTTTTTGGGTCATATTTGTTGCGTGCTAGAATATACGCGGCAGTAGAGTTAGAAAATATTCGTCTTAGCGTTGCACGAGTATTCATCACATAAACCGAAAAGAGAATGAACACCAGAGTTTTTACATGAAAAACCCAAAATGGGAAAAAACCACGGGGTCTCGCCCAGTTGTAAAATTCCACTAGTGTTTTTGTGAATTACAAGAAACTGATTCGTCTCACAAATTGGGACGATCAGATTACAACTTGAAGCAAATTTACAAAGTTTTGTAGAATCCCGTTGTTTCCCAAAAATCCGGCAGAGTTCCGGCATATTCAGGCGACGGGAAGAGCTCCGACGGTGGTCGAGGAGGAGAGGATTCGCCTTTTGCCCTTTTCCCCTTTTCCCCTTTTCCTTCTTCTTCTCTCTTTTCACTTGAGTCCCCTTCGTGTAGAATGAGAGCTCTATTTATAGTTTTTCTGTAGTGACATAGCTCGTAAATAGGTGTGAGATCATGGGCGAATAGGGAGTGGTTTGAATGGACGGCCGATATTGAACCCTTCGATCATGCACCGTTCGTTGGACATTTGGAGGCCTTAATGATGTTTAAATTCAGCGATCTTGGGCTCGTTGGATTCGTCTCGTCGAGTCGCTCGATTCGAGTATAAGCTCGTTAAAATCGAAGACCATTTGGTAACTCAAATTGCGGTTTAAACCTTCCAACAGCGTTTCGGGTCCTTGATTCAGACTCATTTGGGCTCGGATTGGGTTAATCTTGATGTCGTTGGTTTCGTATTTCCGAGACGCTCAGTTTGACTATAAGCTCGCTAAAATCGGAGTTCGGGTGCTCCCAGAATTAATTTTTGAAGTTTCCAACTAGCTTTTGCCTCGAGATTCGTGCCCGATCAAGCTAATTTTGTGATGCCGTATCAATATTGATCATGTCAGTTTCAAAGCTTGGATTCAGTTCACCCATACACCAAGTTTGATTGGGATTGGATCTCATTAACTAACTAAAAAGTTAGCCTTATTAAGTACTTAGTAAAAGACTTGGTGAACTCCTCACCAAAGACCCACTTAAATTAACAATTTTTCTACTTAGGGGTTATTTGATTGGCTGAAAAATGAATGTTGTGTAAAAGTAATGAGATGTATAAATAATGGAACAAATTTAAAATATTTCGGAATTGTTTGGATGAGTGTAAAATAAATAAAGAGATTTTTTTAGCTTGAAATAAAATGAATGCAGTGAAAAACATGATCAGTGGTAATCGGTGATGGCGAGGGCAGGCAGTGGAGGCAGTTGGCTATCAGCGTTGGTGACATGCAACAGCTGTGGTCGGTGGTGGTGGCAGTCGGCGGCTGGGGCGGAATCACTGTAGCGGGGGGGGGGGGGGGGGGGGGGCGGGGGGGGGGAAGCCCCCCCCCCCCCCCCCCCCCCTCTCAAAAAATGTAAATTTTTTTAAGTCTAAGGGCTGTTAGATAATTTGCTCTTTCAATAGGTTAAAATTTGCCCTAATATCAAATTTTCTCCAGATTTGCCCCGCCGAACAACAAGTATCGCTCCGCTGCCCCTGCTCTTCTCCGAACGAACGGGATACTCGCTCCGCTCCGAACGAACGCGATCTCCATCTGCATCTCCGACTCTTTTGATTTTTTGTTCTTGAAGCTTGAATCGGGACAGGCACTGGAGAGGACTTCATTTTTCATCATTCTAAGTGCTCGGGTAAGTCTTCTTCGACATTTCTTCCATTCTTTCGCCCATTTCTTTGCTTCTTTCGTTGTTTTCTTCGCTTCTTCCGAAAAATAGATCCTCTCCTGGCTGAGAGAAACCTATAAAAGAAAAAAAAAAGATCAATAATCAATCTCTTATCTGAAAGTCTGTCTGGTTTGAGAAAACTGATCACAGATTTCCATCGATGTTAGAAACCAAAAGAAGAGATTTTTTGATTCTACAATTTTTCATCATTCAAATGCAAACAATTATTTTTTCTTTTGCAGAAAGACAATATCTTTGGCTCTTTGCTCAACTTATTTAGGCTTATAAGTTATAAGACTGAACAACATGAATTTTTTTTAGCACTAAAATGGGATAATACTGAAATTCAGGCTTTTCCATGCAATCATTCCCTTAAAACTAGTTTCAAATGCAAGCATAAAGCATTGGAAGTCGAATTTACTTGCTGAGAAAGCTGCTACACTTTTGCCCGATTTCGAAAATCCAGCTTCAGCCATTGAATTGATTAAAGAATTTTGATTGTAACAATTACAGCTACATTGATAGAGCACTTACCCTGCTCAATTCACCTTGTAGTCTTTCTGAGGTCAATGTGTTTCCAACTGAATGTGCTAATTATATGGAACAACTATACAAAAACATGCATTTCAATTTAGCACTAGACCACAAAGGACTTTGATTTTTGACACAAAAGATTCAGATGCTTCAATAAATTTAAAACTAGAAAGTAGATAGTAGCAACCATGGTCTTCATAGAACAATTTACTTTCCCTTTGCTGGAGTGGGATGTTAGTGCAGGGCAAGAGCTGGCAGCTCTTAAATGTTTTGTTCCAAAAGAGGTAAATCACTTTACTAAATCCTTAAATGACACATTCGATTTTCACAACGAAATAGGAAGTTCAATTTTCTATGTAGCCTGTAAGGAGCTGTAGCCTGTATGATACTTAATTGCATTTAAGTGTATAATCTATTAAAATAAGCATAGCATAGTTTTTAATGTTTAAGTTGAAGTTTCTATTGTATAAGCATACTTGTTTATTATGATATAAATATTTTGATTGACGGTTGCTTTTTCTTGGTAATAAATTTCATTCTAGGGTTAAATAATGGAGCGTTATTTAAAGAGAAAAGAACGAGTAGAAATTGATATTAATAATCTAGCATCAGATCCAGGACTCTGACTTCCTATTTGGAGTTATGATGTTAATGATAGAGATAAGATTCAGAGATCTTATCTCTTGAAGGGACCTCATCAACCGAGAAGTCATCAATTTCCTCAAACTTTATATGGAAATATTGCACGTAGGTTCAATCCGAAATGGTTTGATGAATACTCTAATTGGTTAGAGTACAGTGTGCAAAAAGATGCTATTTTTTGTCTTTATTGTTATCTATTTAAACCTCAAGAGCAGATCATTAAAGGTCAAGGTGGTGGGGATTCATTTGTTGGAGAAGGTTTCAGAAACTGGAAGAAGAAAGAGAAATTATTATGTCACATTGGATATCACAATAGCATACAAATGATTTTATTTTTACAATGCATTTGATGATTGATATATTGGGCATTACGAATGAGTTATCGCAATCATTGCAAAAAAAAGATCAAGACATTGAAAATGCGATGAAATTTGTTCAAATATCTAAACAACGACTACAACTACTAAGGGAGAATGGATGGAATGCTTTACTAGCCGAAGTGTCACGATTTTGTGGTATTTTTGAAGTTGTTGTTCCAAACATGAATGAAACATACAAAACTCGACGTCGAGCATGCGAAGAGGTGAAGAAATAACAAATCTACATCATTATCGTGCTGATTTAATTGAAAAAGATGTATTTGATTTGATTCCTAATGAAGATGTAGTCCAATATTATCAAAAAATGCAAAATAGATTGATAAAATTGTAATGATTTTCAATTTTTCTATCATATTGGAATACAAGATTTCACTTTGAATTATGTCTTCATTTTGTTTTTTGTTTTTTTTTTATATTTGTCTATTAATAAGAAAATTTTGCCCCCCTGAGATAAAAGGCTGGTTCCGCCCCTGGTCGGCTGTGGTGTCGATCGGCGGTGGTAGATGGTAGTGCCTATACATTTTGTTTGAATGAGTGTAAAATAAATACACATTATTATTATTATTATTATTATTATTATTATTATTTGACTTCAAGTAAAATGAATGCAGTGTAAAGCATGATCGGTGGCAACCGGTGATGGCGAAGGGCCGGCGGTGGCAGCTTGCAGTGGTGGCAGTGGTGGTTGACGGTTAGCGGTCTGAGGCGGCCACCGATGATGGAGGCAGTTGGTTATTAGTGGTAGTGGCGAGCAACGGCAATGACGTCATGCAACAAAGTTTTATTGTATTTAAAAATTGCCCGAATCGGAGAAAATCCAAACTAGTGAATTCGAAATACACCAAAAAATTATAGTGCATTTGATTTACTTCAAGCCAAACATCAATATTCTCAAAATCCATCCACCAAACAACCCCTTAATTCATCAAGCCATCTTGCTAGAAGAACTCATCGAATTAGGCAGATTGCTCAACTAAAGTAATTGCATATTGCACAACAATTAGCCAAGGCTCATTTATTGTATGGCTAATTATACTGAACCTCTCTTATAGATTATTATTTTATATTTCATTATGTAGCATTTCCTGCATCAGTAGCTTTGATGCACAATTATAAATAGAGGGTCAAAAAAAGAATAATATTTTTGTCGAAACACAAGCTTTGACAAAAGTTATGGACAAATGTTTTTTTGTTATTATTTAAAGTTTGTATTTGAGTAAATTATAAAATTTTTATATATAAATAAAACACTTTAAATATTATGTATGCAATTTCTAGTGGATGTTATAAAGCTGAAATTACATCTCATTATTTTTTTTTTCTATAAAAATATAAGTTAACAATCAAATATGCTCTCAAACATCATAACATTGGGTCTATATTACTTATGGATTTTGTAAGCTTTGCCCTAAAATGAACAACAAACCATCTACTCTTTGGATGTCCACTCACATTCAATCTACTTACTAATTGCCTATTGTGGACGGCCAGATTCTTTCTCCGTCCCAACGAACCATTTATGAGATTGATCATTTACTACAACGACTTAAGGTTTTGTTTGGGATGACTTCCTTACTGTTTCTTAAAGCAAATTTTTAATACAAAAATTAAAAATTGTATACTAAAAAATTGATTTAAGAGGCAATAAGAAAGCAATCCCAAATGAAGCATTAGTTTTCAGATTCAGTGCTTTTATCTTATGTTTTCAATTTTGATGATTATTTGTGTCATCTCATTATTTAAGGATGATGACAAATTGTCTTTTCCCATTTTGCCAATATTATTTTATTTTCACATAATCTTTCCCCATTTTGCCAATAGTATATATATATATTTTTTATATATTCAATGAAAATTGGGCTAAAGCCCTAAAAAAAAGGATTAATTTTCAAGATTTAAATGAACAACTAGATCCTACCATAAAGCAGGCACGCCGGAGCCAAATTGGTCCGAATTCCTTCCGTCTTAATTGCCGGCAAATAAAAGCTGCAAGCTAAAACCCTGAAAATTTTAGATAGGTAGGTTGATCGCGATCGAAATGGTGATGTGGTTGTCCCTCTCCGTTCGTAGGTTTCGGCTTCGACCTTCTCCAATCTCCGTCCTCTCCATTCTCTCAGCTTACCCGTCATCCTCCTCCCATCGCCAAAACCCTAGTTCCGACGGCGATAACTTTGAGCATAGTCGTCTTACCACGCTAGGTACCCTTGGTGCCCCAACACCCCTTTTTACCAGTCGGAGAGCGCTCGATGTGCTTAGCTGTTATAAGTTATCCCTGGCCTCCATTTCCAGCTCCTCAGGAACGGTGGAGAGCGGTGGAAACCAACGGCCGGAAGGGGGAGGGAAAACGCAGCCTACCAAATCGTCTTCTTGTTGGATTCAGACCTTCCTTCCAGAGTCCGTGCAACCTTATGCTCTGCTTGCTCGTTTGGATAAGCCCATTGGGACTTGGTTGCTCGCTTGGCCTTGCATGTGGTAATGATTCCTCTTCTTTTTTTCTTCTATTTTTTGACTTATTCTTACAATCAATCAAACTCACTGTGACATCATTCTTTAGATGTAACCACTGCAGGGCATGCAGAGAACTGGGAAGCAACAGTCTGTAGTAACTGCCAGGATTAGCCTCGCGCTGGAGAAGTAATCTTCTGTGATGACATAAGAACGTTGGATGAGTTTAGGGATTATCTGAGGCTCTTCTGTTTGTTTAGATGATTTAGCATATGATATTTTTTTTAAGTTAATGGTTGGATTCAAGCGTTTATAGCTCGGCCAAATTGTTTTTTTATGAAAAATTATTAAGCCAAATTTTTTGCATAGTTGAATTAGTTTTGCAAAGTATTAAGTTCAATAAAATATATACCTTCATTGTGGAAATCAAGTAGTTCTATTTGAAAATTAGGTAAAAATGAATCAAAGAATGATGATGAAATTTTGAGCAATGATAGGTTGTCTAATCTTGAGTGTGTTAAGAAAATGGTCATGTAGATTGTGCTGTAATAAATAAATTAAAGCTAGTTTATTTTTAATAGATATGGACATTATGATAAAGGCTTGATGTTGATGTTGTGATGATGGACATTATGATAAAGAAATATCATGGTGAATGAAGCAAAAATAAGAGACAGATAAGTAGAATAAGTCTTTGCTTGGCAAAATATGCCTCCATTCGGGCCAGAATAAGCCTCTGACCCAATTTCAAACAAAAAAAATGGTGATGGAGAATCCTAAAAGAGAGATGGATGGGGAGAATAATAGACACATAAAGGTGGTTGACAAAGAGGAGAGTCGAGCATTTAGCAGTTGTAGTTTCATAAACCTTCGCAACGGGCATACTTCAAAAGAGTACCACATAGCCTCTAGACTTCCCACCAATATGAGCAAGAGGAGCAGCCATAATCTTTAAAAAAAATCGTGCTATATGACATCATCCTTCACTTTATCATAGAAGAAGCTTCATTTACTGAACAAGGAATGTAAAAGTGAGCCAAGGATGGTTTTCTAGTTCAAATGATGTTGTCTTGGTAGCAATGCAGGTGAATTTGAAGAAGACTTGAGCTCAAAAGTTTTTTTCTTTAACGATAGCTCCTCTAAGGAAATGACACAAGTCCAACTTAATGAGAAATACGCCTTTGCCACACAACAAAAGAAGGATAAAAACTAGGGGGAAATTTTTTCAAATCTATGAAAATGCTTTACTACGTTTCCCAATAAATTCTTGAAGGCTTCTAAAGCAATTGCGGACTACAACGTCCTAGCTCACCTCTGCAAATTTTTGACATTCTTAATCATCTGCTTCTATGATTCCCTCATAATATATAAAAGCATTTAAAAGCACCTCCACAATCATCTTTGATAATGATGATCTCCTTTTGGGGACGACTAAAAATAATCAATTGTGTTAGGTCACGACAAAGTGATATTATTTAAATGCACTAAATTTTGAGTGACTCAGGTTCTTCAATTAATCTCATAAGTGTTAAGAGGCTCTGGTGGTTGAGTCTTAACCTTGAATATCTTAGCAATGGTAATTTTTCCTCTAGCCTTTTAATAAACAGGAGCAGAGAACCTTCAGATCTTTTATTGTACCACTCTGCTTTGGAAAACTCTATATAGAGGTAGAATTTTATGTGGTTGACTTTGATACTTTGGAAGAATTCCTCCAATGATAATGGCTCCATGAGTAAGTTATCATGCTCTTGACAAGAGTATGAAATACACTTGGGAATGGAGAATATCATTGAATGGATGGTGATATGCAATCATTTATGATACATGAGGTCAAAATATATGATGATGCTAAACATTTTATCATGAAGAAATTGAAAAGTACGAACCGTCCGCAATGGCACAATTTGTTGAAGCACAATCGAAGGGCACGAATTAAAAGGTGAAGTGCAAGATAAACCTAATCAACTTAATTCATAAGATCTTTCTCCTAGAGAATAAAAGAGATTTCCTTATCTTAGCAATAACACAAATGATGAATTATGTGTCTATCATCTTAAGTCACTCCAATGGTTCAAAATAAAGGAGAACTAGAACCCAGGTCTCTAACATAACAAATAAAGAAAAAATATATCATCCTAGCGAGAGTGTTTAACTCCCAAATTCCAAAATCATCATTGAAATAACAACTTTGCCTTCTTCTTATGCATTGATATCCTCTTGATTATTGATGTAGAGATGTTAAAGACCTATGTCACTCCAAGGAGAGGCTGCAATGTTCTTTATTAGATTTAAATGAGAAGTTGACTCTTAACAGGACACAATAGAGAAAAAAGATTCATGTGGCTGACCCTCGTAATGGGATAAAGGCTTGATGTTGTTGTTATTGTTGTTGTTGTCATATGAGAAACCAACCCATGAGCCCATGCCATTCACAAACTAAAATGTGACAACCTCAATTTGTAAGAAGTGATATCAATAATGGTCTCACAATATTTCTCACGTGCTTTAAGGCGCCTCATTGAAAAGCAAGTTCCTATCAAACAAGCTTGTCATTTCAAAAAGCTATGGAAAGAAGAGCATGCCAATATAACTTTAAGACATAAGAATTGAAAAATTACTCTTATTGATTATAAGGATTGTGGTACATATATTGACATGCTAGGCCTACTATGGATATAGCAATCCCTATAATCCCTAGATGTCGTATATTAAAGGCACAATGGTGATAAGAACTAAAATTTAGGACTAGCTAATTGTTGAAACTAAGAAGCTCTATAAAGTTGAATTCATTTGGGAGAGAATATATTGACCGGATCACAAATATCATCTAAAATAAGAAAAAGAATGGCTAGATTTATGTATGCATTAACTTCCAGAACTTGAAAAATCATTTCATCTTTTTCAAAAGACGATTTTCTACTACTCATATGAGCCCATGATTTGCAATACATGACAATATAACAAAATCAAGATGGTGTTAGAGAAAAGAAACATACATCTTTTTGCATACTCATTAGTATCCATTGCTAGAGGGTGAACGTTTTGACTTGGAAAACACCAAAACCTCTTGCAAAAGGATTTTGAATAGGGGTGTCAAAAACGGGTTGCGGGTCAGGTTCAGGTCGAACAAGACAATGACCCGCAGCTGTTCGAACGACTCGAATCTGACCCGTTTTTGCAAACGGGTTGAATTTTACAACCCATACCCGATCCACCAAAAACCCGGGTCAACCCGACCCGACATGGCTGACCTAGGGCCAAATCGCAGGCGTTGTCGCAGCGTGCCGCTGTGCACGGTTACTCGTTAGGGCTTGCTGATGGCCGGCGGGCTAGGCCTTGCAGGTCTGCAAGCGCAAACCATCAAGCGGCTCGGGCAAAGCAGGGTCGAGCGCGCGAGGACTTAGGGTTTGCTGGCGGCTGGTGTACGTGGGACCAATAATTTGGTCTGGTGCTTAAGTACATACTCAAGCAAGTGCGGTCTAGCCACCGCAGGCGTCAGGCTACGCGGGCGAAGCAGGGTTGAACACGCGCAGGGTGATGTCAGGTCGGCTTCAGGTTGATGTCGGGTTTTCGGGTTGACTCAAACCCGGCCCGAATTTGTAATTGAGTTCAGATTTTAAACCCGAACCTGACCTGTTTACTAAACGGGTTAACCCTAACCCAAAATTTCTGGGTCATGTCTAATATTGACTGCCCTAGTTTTCAAAGGGTGATATCATTGACTTGGTTGTAAAAAGTATGTCCCATTTTGATCATGTAAATGATCCTTAGTTTTTTTAAAAAAAAAATTAATCTTAAAGCGAATCCTTTGAAAAATATTTTTACGTTCATAAAAAATGTTCTATGCTTTGTTGTATGCCATAGAGACATTGAAATTGATTCCCCTTAAAATTAAGAATGTTGTGTGCCAGAACATTAGCAGTGGTAGAGATACAAAAAGATTTAAATAATTGGTATGAAGATCTAATACACACACACACACACACACACACACACACACACATATATATATATATATATAGGGTGCAATAATCATAAGAGATACCATATTTTTTACATTGAAAACCCGGAAAAGGAAAAGTCATGAGGTTTGACTCAGTGATCACTAGTATTTGTCATTGATTATAAATGATGCACTTCCTTGAGAGAAGACATTGCTGCAATGCAAATAACATATTATATGGTTGAAATTGAAATAGCCCTCTGGTAGGAATCTAGCATTAGTGAAGTTAAGAGTCAAAAAATGGCGTCGATGGCATGCATCGATCCTATAAGAGATGGCATGTGTTTCCATTATTAGCAATGGTAGGTGATGAAATCAATAGACATTGGAGTAGCCAGGTGATGATAGCAAAAAGGTTATAGGTCGGAGGAATGTTTCGCCATGCAACAAAAATGATTTTGAGTATGCCACTGTCAAAAACATTAAGTAACTTTGTTCTTTGTAGGATAGTTTGGCATATATAAGGAGGTTTGTACGTGACCTTTCAGGCAAGTTTTAACCCTTCAATAGATTAATGAAGGACACCCTTTTTATATGAGATAATGTTTGTCAATAAGATTTAATAGCATAAAGCACTATTTGTTCCATCTTCTAATTCTTGTGATATCAATCTTGGAAAACCCACTATCTTTTATATCAAAGGTCTCTCGAGGGATCACTTTGGGGCTTTGTTGGCTTAAAACAATACATATAGGAATGAAATATGATGGACCACCTGATTTGATTGTGAGGGAATTAAGAAGTTTCCTAATAAAGAGGGAGCTATCTCGGAAGGTTCTTAATCAAACGAAATTAATTAGCAGATGTTTTCTAATTGAATATGACATATTTGGTGATCGATTTAGAGGGAATTAATTAGGAAATATTTTCTAATTAAAGGGGGAAGATTTGAAAGCTGATTTGGAGGGGATTAATTAAGAAATATTTCATAATTGAAAAGTACATATTTAGGGGCTGATTTGAAGGGGATTAATTAAGAAATGTTTCCTAACTGAAGAGGAAAGATTTATGGACTGATTTGAGGGCTTATTTGGGAGGAAAATAATTAAGTAAACAGGAGGGAATTGGGGGAGGACTGTTTGGGTATTTATTGTTTGCTTTACTTAAATTAGATTATTCTTAGGGTGTTTGGGCTCTCTGGCCGATGGCTAGAGATTTGGGAGAGCCGAATCTTCCTTTCCAATTGCATATCCACTTGCATCTTGTCTTTTCTTTCATAAAACTTTCAATAAAAAAGTGTTTGTGTATTTTATTCTTGATTTTCTTGTCGTTGGTTTTCTGAAATTGCTGAAATCAGATTTCATGCAAGGCTTTTCCTAAATTTCTACAAGAACTTTGTATCAAAATACTCTCTATTATATTAGTTGATGATTATTATAGGTCAACTCAAAAGTGCTCTTCAATTGAAAAATATTGTTGGTTGTTGATCTTTGCTACACAAAAGCTTGTCATATGTTTGCCCACAAAATAACTCTAATTTTTAAAGTTAAGCTTCAAAATTTTAATGATTAGATCCATTCTAACTAGTTGTCTAGCTAGTTGGGTAGTTTTGTTGCTTAAGTTTGGCATCACATATATCATGCAAAATAATGTGAAAGGGTGGGCCCTTATTGATTTCTTAGTTGCCCATTTCTCTTCCAATGGACTCTCCACTTGATGATTAACCATTGAATGACCAAGTCCTTAAAGTGGGAGAAGACAAACAATTGGCGAGTTAGAGCTATATTTATAGAACAACACTCGTAATCTTATAGGAATCTAATTGATTAATTTATTGCAATGATTTCAAAGACTCGGTTCAAAAAATCAACTCAAAAGGCAAATTGATTAATCAAAATTTGATATAGTTTTTTAGAGATACAAATGGTTAATCAATAACATTAAATCAAAATAAAAAAAGGATGGCAAAAGCATTAATCAAGTTAATGCAAAATCAAAGTCGAGTGTGAATTGTTTGAACCCTAGTCGTAAATCACAAGAGCTCAAACTCTCTTTCCAAATAAAATTTAAGTTAAGACTAATTTGAATGGTGCAAGGACACCGATATCTATGTTGATGCCTCAATAATCATACTTGCATATTGTAACTGTGTGAGTACATCATATAGCATATAGGTCATCAAAACTCTCCCATGGTCTGTTTGAAATTTGAATTGTGGAATACTATGGTGTACATATATGTCCATGAATGACTTGCGCGTACTTGTTTTCAAGTATACTGGTAAGCATGACAACACCTAAAAAAGAGTGTTGATGCACTTTGAAGGTTGAACTTCAAAATAGTCTCAAATGGCCAGGGGATTTAATAGATCCCTGGCTAACATAAATGTCCATAACGCCTGTATATGGTGGTAAAAAAACATCTAAATATTATCTCAAGGACTAACTTACTATACTACCCCTAATGGCGATTCCAGTACATTCATATTAACTCTCATTGTATTATGGTTGTCATTGTTGCCAATTTGATGACTATTTATGGTTACTTTTCAGTAAACAAATGGAGTTTATGTTATGCGAGTCTGCTAAGTCTTTATCACAATGATGCTAGGTCTATTACAATGGCAGCAGCCCCAGGAGAATTCCCTGATTTGAAGATGTTGGCATTGTTTGGATCTGGTGCGGTGCTCCTTCGAGGTGCTGGTTGCACAATAAATGACCTCCTTGATCGTGATATTGATATCAAGGTGTTTTTCGTTGCCTTTTAATTAATTATATGTATAATTGAAAATGCATGAGCAAATTCAAAAGTTTCCGAAGCTCCAGATGAATGATCGTGTGTTTTTTCTTATTCAGCTATCTGCTCATGTATTATATAATGTAATAATCTTTAACAGCATACAAAGTTTGTTGCAGGATTATCTCAAGTTTGGCTTGAGTGTGAATTTGGCAGTTTCGATGGTATCAACGGTTTCAATGTTTAATTTAGGTTTTGGTTTTGATTGTTTAAATAGCATGAAAAAGAATATTTCACAATGTTACAATAAAAAAATATTTTTAAGTTATGCAATATTGGAGACTATCCAACTTATAGAACCTCAAAAATAAAAGTTTGATAATATGACTGTAATTAAAATTGTTAATTTGTTTATTGAGGCACACACTTCACATTGATCTTTCAGTTCACGGGATGTTATAAAATAATTTCGATAGATAATAAGTTACTGAGACACACACATTATGATAAAGGAACTAATGATTGCCATGTGGTAGAGCTTTAGCTGGCAGTACGCTGGCAGTACGCATGGACCTCAAGTATGGAGTTTAGTAGAATTTTGAGTATTGCTTCAAGGTTTCGTGAGGTTTTACCAAACTTCTCAGGTTTAAATAAACCCTTGAAAGCAGCAGCAACAACAACATCAAGTCTTTATCCAACTACGTCTGGTCGGCTACATGAATCTTTTTTTCTTTATTGTTTCCTATGCAGGGTTAAATTCTCCTTTAAATCTAAGAAAAAAAAGGATAATTTCTAATACTTTGAAACCTTGAAAGCAACTGAAGCAAAAATAATCAACTGGTTTTTGGAGTGATCTTGATGAAAACCGTTCCAAAACTTCTGAAGTGGATAGTTTTAAACCGAAGGGAAAACATTGGTTTGCAACTACTATCTTTTTGTAATCATGCATGACTCCATTCCCAGTGCTGTTTGGTTTCTGTCAAATGTTAATAAAGCCTCTTTCTTGCACGTCTTCTTTATTACTATTTATCATTTAATTGATGCCCAGGCAGATAATGTCATTTGGTTTCATGATTAAAATAACGCAACTAGAGAACAATTCTTGCTGTGATTAATATTTGGTTCTTGCTCTCATGTGTGCTGAAAGTACCTCTATTCTCTTATTGATAGCCTATTATATCATCTTTTTTTACTGTGTAGGTGGAGCGTACAAAGAGCAGACCTGTTGCCTCTGGCATATTGACACCTTTCCAAGGGCTAAGCTTTCTTGGTCTTCAACTATTACTGGGTTTAGGCATTCTCTTGCAGCTCAATAATTATAGGTAATTGGTAAATATTATTTATATATAATTATTCCCAGTTTTTGGAGGAATGGCCTTTGTAGTTGTTGTAACTTTGTGATAATATTTTGAAGTTTGATGCAAATAATGAAAATCACAGACTGGTTGATCTTGTTGGTTGGTCATCTTTTAAATCAAAGACAGGGTGGATGCTGATTTTCATTTAGTTTCTGTTATTTTATGTGTACATTAATTTGTACCAAGTAATATTATCTACTTTTGCGAGTTCAAAACTTGATAGGAATCGATGAGAAATCTATAGTTCTATACTATAGCCTATTCTTTGTATCATATTTCCTTATATATTGTTTTATGTAGTTACCACTATAAACTTTGGATATTCGCATATGACATCTGGATGAGTAAAAATAAAATATGTAGCTGGAGTGGATGAGGGAGAGAAAAAGAGAGAAGGGGAGAAGAAATAGGAGAGTGGGTGAGGGAGGGGAAGGACAGGAATCATCCTCAGACGCAAAGTGAAGACGAGTATGCATCCATCTACTTGACAGTTTTCATTTTATTTATGAGAAATTATTGATGCATTGTGAGATTTTTTTTTTTTTTCAATCTTGAGTCTTGTGTCAATGCATCTTATCAACTAAGACTCTTACTTATGTTAGTTTCATGTTTTAGGATTATTTTGGTATTTTAATATATGTTTAAGTTTAGTTTGTAATTTTAATAAGTTATTTTTATAAATAGGACCCAATGTTTTATAATTGGTCATGAGAGTTTATGATGAATTGAGATCTCAAATTTCCCATGGCCTTCTCCTTGGGGAGTCTCCCTCATCTTTAGTTTATTCTTGTTGCTTCCTCTACCCTTGCTTCCCTCTCTTTTAGGCATTCATTCGTCCATATCCTCAATTATCTTCTTTTCTATAATTGTCCAATTCTCTTCCAATCTTGGACCTGACTATATATTTTATTACTATCCTCTGAATCAAGTATACATAGGAGTTTTATTTTTAAGATATGCCTATAGGGAGCTTATTATAAGAATTAAATGTCTAGACAGTCTGTAAGGCATGCAAAAACAAGTGTAATGTCTAATAAATTTTAGAATAGGAGTAAATGTACTAAAGGATAAAATAGATCCAACTACATAAGATAAATAATCCTAACTATATATGATTACTTCGATTAAGACGGTACACGTGAAGGTATAATATCTAGGTTGAGATTTAGCACACGATATGGTAAATATGAATAAACTTTATGGAGGCAGCAATTGTTGTTCTCTTGTGAAGACATTGGTTTAGAGAAAGCATATGATAAAGTTTTAAGAGAAGTGCTTTGGAGAGTTCTAGAAAAAAAAGATTTTATAATGCTTCTATTCAAGTCATTAAGGATATGTATGCATGAGTTGTTACTTGTGTTCAAACACAATATGGTTTGACCAAGTATTTTTCTATTTTAGTTGGATTACATTAAGGATCAGCTTTAAGCCAATATCTTTTTGCTTTAGTCATGGATGTTCTTACTAGACATTTTCAAGAGGATGTCCTAGTGAATGATTTTTGCTAATGTTATTCTTCTTATTGATAAGATTAGAGTGTAAAGGTTTTCATTTGAGAAGGTCTAAAATTGAATCTATGGAGTGTAATTTTAATAGTAATAGATCTAGTGGGTGGATTGTGACTTTGGGCAATCAAGTCATTAAAAAGATGACACATTTTAGATATCTTAGGTTTATTGTTCAAAGTGATGGTGAAATAGATGGTGATGTTTTTTTTTGGGGGGGGAATATAGATGGGGATGTTATTAGTAGAATTCAAGTTGGATGGTTAAAGTGGAGGAATGCATCGGGCCTATTGTGTGATAGAAATGTACCCCTCAAAAGGGAAATAAGTTTTCAAATTATCCAATTTTCAGTAATATTAAACTAATGGCCTTTTTTGTTGCATTTGCTCTCTGTAGATTGAGATTTTGGATTGGATATGGAGTTGGGTGTGTGTATTCCTGTCAATTGGAAGCGCTTGGCTAGCCAGAGGTTGGGCTGGCTGGGAAGGAGTTGTATTGTTTTGGGCATGAAAGTAAGCAACGACTGCAATGAAGATGGAAAGCAGCAAATCGCTGCAAGAAAACGATCCAGAAAATAGGGGAGGGCCAAGAACATCACCAAACAACAAAATGGAAAGCTTTAATCAGAAAAAAAATAAACAAAAAATAAAAAGTACAAAACTAATTTCAGCATAACTGCACAAGAGCTTGTTGATGCCATTATTTATGTGGTTAGATGAGTGGGCTAAGAAGAGAAGGTGGGATGCGAAATATACGAAAGGGAGAGGAAGAAGGAGAGGACTAAGTCTCAGCTTGCTAGAAAAGAAGAGTATGTCGATACACTTGAGAGTTTTCTTCACTTTCATTAAAAACGTTGTCCAGATCAGTCCTTAAGATGTCTATTTATAAGATGATCTCTAGGGCATACTTGATACTGATTGAATGTCTATAGTCCCCCCCTAGATCATTTTGATATAAGCGTGATGCCTAATAACTCTTAAAATAAGATAATATATGGTGACGATTGAGTTCGACTTCGGGCAGAAATATTTGTGTAAGTGTAACAAATAGTGATGGTTGATTTGTGTTAGATTTCCTTCTTTCTCCTTGTAGCTAGAAATAATGTTCACCTAGAAGTTCCTGGGTGTTGCACAATTTACCGGATATGAAACTTGTCTTATTGCGCTGAAGCTGATTGAAATGGTCAGCAGCCTTAATCTTATGCCGTATCTTTTTTGTGATTGTAGCCGTATTCTTGGAGCATCTTCGTTACTTCTGGTCTTCTCATATCCTCTTATGAAGAGGCTTACTTTCTGGGTATGGGATTTTGAATACTTAATATTTTTTACTTCTATTTGATGTCTTCCCAAAAATGAGTGGATTTGACCTTCGCAACAGCCTCAGGCTTATCTTGGTTTGACCTTCAACTGGGGTGCTTTACTGGGATGGGCTGCAATTAAGGACGGTTTAGATGTAGCAATTGTTCTCCCATTGTACTGTTCTGGTGTATGTTGGACACTTGTGTATGATACAATATACGCGCATCAGGTTATTTGGTATTTGTTTACTGCCTGTTTATAAATTCATTAGATCTTTCATGAATTACTCCTCTTGAAAATATTTATTTTTAAACTGCAGGACAAGGAAGATGACCTGAAAGTGGGTGTGAAGTCAACAGCATTAAGGTTTGGAAGTTCAACAAAAGGCTGGATCTCTGGATTTGGGGCTGCTTGTATCACTTGCTTAGCAGTAAGCGGATATAATGCAGAGCTTGGTGCGTGCCTATCTTTTCTGTTAATTTTTCTTGAAGTTGCCGTACTAATTGTATGAGCTTCTCTTTTAGGACAGCACTGCCTTATTATCCATTTCTAGTTGCTGCGGCTACACAATTGGGATGGCAAATTATGACCGTAGACATATCAAACAGGGAAGACTGTAATAATAAGTAAGTGAATGCAAAATGATCTACATAATATGCTGATACACACTATTGTCCATCATTAGAAAGCTATTATTTGTAAATTGTAAAATATTTGCAATTTCAGTCCCCCTTTTGATTTAGATGAACATGAAAGAATAAGAAGCAATGAGTTCCTAGCAACATTGTTTTGAGTTATGATATAATGACACCGACAGGAGAGAGACACATGTACACAAATAATTATAAATAGTAAGACATGCCAAGGGAATTGATTTTCTTTTATATAATGTTAAAATAAAATATTAAAAAATCTTATATCATTTATTTCTATCAAAAAATATCAAACATGAAGTATAATATCTTCTGTATTAGATAAAAATAACTTAAGGGCATACCAAGTATTATTGCACGGGGTATGTCTTGATTATGTTAGCTTGCCCTTGATTAACTAAAAATTAGTTCAATTGTTGGGTATCGTCTCATTGTGTTTGGGCATATCCAATAATGTCAGGGCATGCATCAGCCTTAATATATTTTTTGAAGAAAAGAAAGGTTGGACATAACTTTAAACGTGTATGACACATTAGGATGTTCATGTCTTATATGGCATAACCGGATCTTTTAGAGCCGCCCATGCTTCATAGGTTCCAGCGAGAGATTTTTTGGATTGGTTGTATATGCACTATAAATATTAAAAATTGACATCATTTAGGGTTCCCTTCCTCAGTTTACCACCTTCTCTTCGATGTTGAAATCCTTGATGTTGATGCCTTTCGGCATCAGCATTTCATATGTTATCTTGTGAGAATAGCTTCCTTTGTTGGCACATTCATCACCCCTTAATGCCAAATTGGCCTCGATTCTTCTGATGTTTCGGTTGGAGTTCTCACTGTCTCAAATAGTCTCCTATCATTCACTTCCTTTATCGCACTTGTTAGCTCTCATCCACTCTTTGTTTTGATGTCAGCTATGTGTCCAGTGTCCTTCATCCCTAGCTTCTCGCAATCATCGTTGTTCGCACTCCCTTCGGTTCCTCTTTGGTTGTTTCTTCTAGGGTTCTTGTGTTGGAGCCTATTGAACCTATTGTTGGTGATTCACCTTTGTCGTCTACTACTCTGATACTCTGATGGTCTTTTTGTTTGATGGTTTTCCCATAGATCCTCGTCACACATTTTATTTAACAATTACTTATGATACTCCTAGTATGTGTGCTACTCATTGTTTCATTGAAGTTGTTGAGGGGAATAATGCTTCAGTTTTTTAGCCTTCTTATTTTTCAAGATTTTTCAACAAGCTCAGAATCATCTCAAAGTGATAGGGAATAATCGTAGAAACAAAAAACGATGGTTGAAATCAGAATTTCAGCAATCTCGCCAAGTAAGTTTTGAGGATTTAATGGAGGAAAAACAAGAAAAACACCATTGATTGAATTAGTAGATGAAAGAAAATAGCAAGATACAGTTGATCCTTAATTTGAGAGGATGATCTATCTCTCCCAAATCTCTAGACCTCGCTAGAGCCTAAGATATTTAGATTGCTATAAAGTGCACCCTAAATTGAGAAAATAATCCTCTATGCTAACACCTAGGATGATGGGGATAATACAAATGACAGGTCCAACCTAAGAATTGGTGGTTGGATTGTACTCAAATTGTGGAATGTACTCTCTTTCTATGGATTCAACACCTTCACTTGTTGATGATGCATATGCCCGAAGTATTATGGTTATGGGTAGTACCTCTTCTAATATCTACATTGATTTAGTTTCTTTAGTTGTGATAGCGAATTCTCCTCTTGATCTTCCTATTGTAGATGATGTTGATAACCCAATATTTTATCAGTCATATGGTTCCGATAAAAGTCTCCTAGGCATGGAAGAATAAATGCATACAAGGTTTCAAATCTTATTTGTTAGGAGAGGCAATAATTAAAGGGATTTTTACATACATAACACTTAAAACTTTTGAAAATACATATTTAACACTCAAATTATTGTATTTACTGATATACCACTTAAAACCCTCATTTTCCTCTATTCTACCACTCTGTTCAAGCCCGTCAGAAATCCCGCCTAACGTCGTCTTCCGTACGTTCGTGCGAAGCAACTGCGGCCATGGAGATGTCTCCGGCAATGTGGAGCCGCAAAATGTCTGACCTGTCGTGCTTCGTCGCGAGCGTCTTCATCGCGAGAGCTGTCCGTGTGTGGAACTTGCTCTAGGGTTCTATGGAGAAGTTTTGTCCGGCAAGGCCAGATTGGTATGAGGAATTATTTGCCAAGGCTATGGAGGAAGGCATGAGGTCTTATGAAGCTGAGGTTACTTCACTGCTACCCTCTTCTATTTTTTCGTTTTGATACCATGCAATCCATTGCAAACACTTGCATGCCAAAGCAAAATAAAATTGGGGAAATTTTAAGGATAGAAGGATGTCGAGGGATGAATGCTACACCTCAGTCAACAAACATGAGCATTATATTGGGATATGAACTTCTGTGCTGTTTGGGATGGGGTTGAAAAATAAGCAAAACAGAAGAATGCATATTCAAAAATGCCTCACCAGAGGCAGAACCGATGGCAGCCAGGTAAAGGTGATTTTCGCTATTAATTTTCACCCCGTTATCACATTAACAGTTACTCCTATATAGAGAGAAGGAAGGTGGAGAATCACACCTGAGTTGATTCTGTTATTCCTCTACGCAGCAGTTGCTTCGTACAAACGGAATGGTAGAATTTTGGAAAATGAGATTTTTAGGTGGTATATCAGTAAATACAATAATTTGAGTGTTAAATATGTATTTTCAAAAGTTTTGAGTGTTATGTATGTAAAAATCCCATAATTAAAAAGAAGTATTTATTCATTCATGAAGGTTTAATAGACTTCAAGCAAGGTGCAGTAGTTTGGTATTCTTGATTTGTCAGTTATTGGGGCTTCTCCTCTACATTTTGATGGCTACTTTTTTCCCTTGCCATCATCTTATATATTGTTCCTAGTAATTTACTTAATACCTTGTCTTCTGGCTGCTGCTTGTAATTGGTTCATGTTATAACCATTGCCTTGATTGGTAATAAAATTTGCTTAAAAAAGATGGGAGAAAAAGGCTCCTAGACATCAATTTGTTAGCTGTTTGGAAAAGTCTAGATACTTTTGTATAAGCATGTATGGACATAGCACACTTAGGCTTCGTTTGGGATGGTTTCTTTGTTGCTTTCTAAAACGGCTTTTTAGTATAATTTTTTTTTTAATTAGAAATTTTTGTACTAAAAAGCAGTTTTATAATGTAACAAAAAAGCTGTCTCAAATGAAGCCTTACTCGCGGCATCAATGTTGGAGTAAGCTATATATTGCTGCATTTTGGGCTCCATCAGGGCTCAATTATGCACGGCCCTTAGACATTTACTACAGTATGCTCTTTAATCGGATTAATTATTATGTGCGGACTCCGAATGCCGTCCAGTCTCCGCACAAAATGATTACTCCTTTAATCGTGCGGATGCATAAAATTTCTAATCA